TGATGTTGCAACATTTAATAAAAATATATTTTTTGAAAAATAATTAAAAATATTCTGTCCAGGATTTTTTTAGCCAACCCATTTTTAATATATTAACTAATATACTAAATTAATTATATAATAAGTTTTATTCCATTTTCAAACCGGTGAAGGTCGATTTAGGTTCGGATCTTAGACTAAATTCAATTCTTACTCATTTTTATTTATCATGTCAACAATGGACCATCATTAGGAAAGGCCAATGTAAAGCAAAGGACTGCCAATGGCTGATGATGAAGTTTTATTATAAACCTACTTACAGAAATCAAAACTTAAACTGCAAAATTAATCAAGATACTCACCATTTGATAAGGCTGTTGATGCCGGCTCTACATGTTGCATGTGTAAAGATTTTGTATTTGATGCAGTTTTTTCTATGATATTTTGTTTTGTTTCTATTTCTACTAGTTGGAAACCTGACGTTGATGGTTCCATAGTTTCTTCATTTAATGGTTGTAAAATGTTGTGTTCACTTGGTACAGCTGTAAATTAAATAATTAATTGACTGTTAAATAAGTTTACTTTAAAACATAGAATACTCAAAATACAATATACGAAAACTTACCTAAATTCAATGTAGGGACAGCATTTTTTGTTAAATATTTGCTTGGTAGTTGATAGAAATTTTCAAAGTGGCGGTGGCAGATTCGAATGGAATTATAAATGTAACTGTCTCCTTTTTGTTGTGTTGCACTGTCCAGTACACACTTCCATTGGTTGAATTTCTCTGTATGGGAATATTCCCATTTTGGGAAATGGTGTAGAGGACCTATAAATATAATATCATTGTAATATTTATCATATCTGTGATGCGTGCTCTCTAGCTAGATAATCATAGACGGAGACAAGATTAAATATTTTGTACAGGAATAACAATTAAAAATAAATGGGATATTTTGGTATTGATTGAATAATTAGTTTTAAACAGTACAATAATTTAATAAGTTGATTCACCTGTAACACAAAGGTGTTGTTTCCAGTTTTAAGTTTACTGTTAATTTCAGTTTCTTTTAGATGTAACTTAATGGAAATGAAGAAACTTGTAATTGAAAAACTTACCATCGATAACACAACCGAAGTAACATTTTAGTTTATTTGCTTTCGGCATTTTTGCAAAAGTTTACAAAATCATAAACGAAGTCCGTGATAAAAAGCGCCAATTTAACAGTTATGCAATCAGTCCGGGGTCCAAGTTACATGCCAGGAGTTATCGTAAAGCGTAGGAAATCACAAAGTCCGTAATCAAGCCTAGTCGTAGCAAATATCACAATAAAACACAATAAACGCACAACGAACTCAAAAAGAAGAAAGTTGGTATGTTATTCAAATATGGCGGAACAGTAGGTATGGCAAAATTCCCTCGTACCTACCTTAATGTTGCCGTACAGAAAATTAAATGAGAATTACAAATAATTTTGTTCTTAGTTTCTTTTTTTCAGTAATTAATTAATAATTAAAATATATATCTACACACCCATCTACTTATAGGAAAACCAATTTTTTATTAAATTGTTTGCTCAGTTTAATTCATCGACATTGCTAGTGCCCTCTCGTAGCAAATATTTGATAATTTATTGGCTAACCAGGGTTCCCCGCGCAAAAGATGGCGCTAGTTTCTGTGAACTTTTTGAAAAATGATAATGTATGGGAGTTTCATCCGCCTGACGCTTGGTAAGGAACCAGCACGCGTAGCATGATGAACTCGAGAACGTTTTGTCTAGAATCAAATGTCACTTTTCTCGGGTGCGCCCATATGAGATGTCACTCTCGACCCGAGAAACTGTCAAATGAGTGTAGGCAAAGCGTTTCTCGAGTTTGTCATACTACGCATGCAGTATGGATGCACACGAACTTACCAGTCAGTGCTCAGACCACCTACCGTATGGATGGCACTTTAGTTGAGGCTTCTTTGACTGCTTGTAATTTTTATATCAATAGTTTTGACCGCATGTGACCCTGATATCAGCATATTTTAGTTTTTTAATATGTTAGTTAACAGGAACGGAAATGACTGTCTTTGTTCCATTCGTTTCCTGCAAAAATCAACTTTTGGTAGAGTCGCCATCTAGTGGAGGTGCTTTTAGTGCTTTTGTTTTTTTTTAATACTTCCCATAGAGATAAGGTAGAGTGGAAATATTTTCTATGGTTATATAAATATCATGCAATCTGAAGTTGACATCGAAAACATCATGTTGTCTTTTTTTAACTAATAAGAAGTTTCTTTAGTAAACAAAGATCGCACTAGTGTGTCAGTTCAAAATTTTTTACGTGACGTCATGACATATAGCTATCGTACCACCTGTCCGCCATTTGCAAAGTTGCAGTGCGTATTCTCGGATGTAGTTCAGCTGTCAGTGTTATAAGTTTTGTGGTTATTTTCATTTATAACTTTAATTTATATTTCTTTCATGGCAGAAACTTGTAAACTATTTATGCAAAACAATGCCTAGGTGCAGTGTAATTGGTTGTGAGTCATCGATATTCCGCAAACCGAGCAATATTACGTTTCACCGGTAAGTTAAACACTTTCTTAGAAAAACAGTATTTAAAACGTAAGTAAGTTATTCTGAAAATGATTGCGTGTATAAATCGATACATATCGTATTTTGGCGTGTTCTATTTATGCTATATTGCTCTTTTCGTTTATATTTTTATAATATTTCGGTCCGTAAATAATATTGTTTACATGGCTAGTGTCGTTACTTTAACATATGGTTTATATCGATAATTTTAATATTTAAAAATATATTAATTATTTTAGATTACCAAAAGATGAAACAAAAGAGGAAAATGGCCGAGTTACATAGAAGCAGAAAATATTAAATGTAATGAAAAAGTTACTTTTATCTGCTCACTTCATTTTAGGGAAAGTTGTTTGAATCGAACTTTAAATATAATAAAATTACGAGATGATGCATTGCCAATCAAATACTCTGGTAAGAATTTTTGAAAATTGCTTTTATCTTATTTAAAAAAAAAAATGTCTATTACACTTAGTTAATTTTCATTTGATTTTACTGATTTATTTATTTAGTTTTTTATATAGTCATTTTGTTATTCTATAAATGTACCTTATTTTTAGTCTTGCGGTCATATGACGACTATTTTAATTGAAAAAAATCAGAATGCAATATATAATAATATTAAAATATAAAATTCTGATCATAATATACTCCCAGTAAAATATACAATAAAATGAGTTAAATAATTTTAATAAAAATTAAAATATGCACACTTATCAAATTAAAGGCATAGTTAAAGGTTTTCTTTGCTGTTCAATAGTATAATCTTAATACCCAAATAATTATTTTGCGGCGTGGATGTTTATTTTGCTGATGCATCATAAAATACGCTACCTTTTTGAATTTAAATTGCTGACCGTTATCATGATTGTTCACAGAACATGAATTGCAGACTGTTTTAGTGCTGAGAAAATATTTGTATGCTTGCCTATTGATTAATCGGCTGTTTTCTTCTTGCTAACCAAATTTTAAAATAAAATGCCAATTGTTACTTCTTTAATAATGTTACTGTTATGCCAATTGTTACTTACTCATCACCAACTTTGTTTTCTTTATTTTCTCTTGTTTATTCATCATAGTTTACAGTATTTTTATGTTCTTTTACCAATAATATAATACAAAGATTATGTAGGTGTTTCAAGTTTTCTATGTTTACTAATAAACAAGATGTTCTGAACTAAAATTGTGACACAGTACGCACGGTATCTCACTTAATGAGGAGGAAGCGAAATTTATTCAGTCAAAACAATTTATTGAATAAATTTATAGACAAGTTGGCTTACTAGTTACAAGCATATAAGAAAGTCGAAACTCTGTGCTTATAGTTCAGCAATCTATTACGGGAAACCTTGTACCGAGAAAAGAAAAAACTGTAAGAAAGGAACCGGTAAGAAACTGCAAGGGCTGCTTTTGCACCCTGTTTAATTTCGTACTGAAAAATAAAAAATGACTTCATTGGACCAAAATGTCACTTTCCACCAAAACAATAAAAAATATATAACAGACAAAAAAAGCATAATAATTCATTCGTCAATCGACTCATTTAAAGCTTATTATAGTTACCGTGGCAGTTATCTTGGACAGTGGTCACACTTCCTGTGGATGCAAAATTAAACTTATGTTAAAAAAACTAATTATAGTTGCAAAATATCGACTTTACAATATATATGGAAATAATTATAAAACACGATTGATATTATTGTTAAACTTTTAAGATATATATTTTGGTACTATAGTTCTTAAAACTATGTAAAATTGGCTATATTAGAGGAAAAAGAAACATATTTATCGAGGTACAATCATATTATAAAATTATATTATTAAATAATATAAATGTGAAAGTTTGTGAGGATGGATGTTGGTTACTCTCATGTAAAAACTACTGAACGGATTTTGATGAAATTTGGAATACGAATAATCTTTTACCCGTGGGAAGCGCCATCATACGCTGGTAACATATGTTATATTTACTATAGTGACGCAACGGAGTCGCAAGAACAAAGAACGCAAGAAATTTTAGATGTCCAACAAAATATGAGCAAAATAATTGATAAATTCACACCACTTTTAAAAAAATATTATTTTCTTGATACCGGCGTGAATTTTTCAATTTAATTAATAATAATCATAAATAGGATTGGTACGTAAGTGTGAAAAATAACAATGAAAATTATATTATATTATTTAATAAGTAGTAGTATTGTAGCAGTTTCACGAAATACTAACTTTTATTTAATATGACTTCAATGTCGATACAAATATCGATATCTTGGGTCACGCCCTATGACAATCCGCCATCGAAGAATTTGCATTTGAAGTTTAGGCATATACGCTTTTTTCGTAAGTATGGCCGGTCCTCTTCTTTTATGTCTATGGTTCTATGCTGTAGACTGTCATAATGACAGTGACGTTACATATACTTCGTTCACCAGCTGTTGTGTGGAAATCTATGGTGGCAATTATGGGCAACGAACCCCAATAATTATATAGAAGAATTAAAATAACCTACTCTTTTCCCTGGAATAGCAAACTGCTACTTTTCACTCGCCTAGCTTAATACACAATAAAAACGAACAAGGATAAAATCTAGTAAAATTCAGTGATCATTTATAAATACTTAAAGAAATTAGCAACGTAAGTATGAATATCATGATTTCATATTTTTTGTTAAGGTTAACACGTGAAACTGCTTTCCCTTCTTCATAATTAACGTTAAGGATAGAACAAAAATGACATTCAAATATTACTTCAAGATTGTACTAGCCATTTAATTCATTTATTAACTTTTTAATTATTCTTAATTGAGAACGAGACAAGGTTATTTTTTGGTTTAACACCATAGTGTAGTTATCACTACATTTTAATGATAATTTCTTAAAAATCAGATTAGGGAAAAATTATAAATATATATGATTACAATTATAAATTCTAACATTACAGATTATTGATAATAATATAATAAGATGTCAGAAGATGCAGAGCTACAGGCTGAGGAAATTGAAGTCCTAAAGTCTATTTATGAGGGAGATGACAATTTCAAACAGGTGGATTCAAAGACTTATCAGTATAAGGTATCTATTTAATTATACCTTCACCATCATAAACTGAATTTAAAAGTATATGATTAAAATATTTGTAGGATGAAAGTGGTTCATGTACAGTGGGTAACAGTAGAGTTTTTGACAGGTTGAGGATAACCTGATGACTTAATATTAAAATTCATTTACTTATACGATTTGGCATTTTAATCACCTGCAATGCTTTGAATGTTTCAGTATGTAGATGGGGATAAATCCTTTATACTAGAGATCTCATGGGGGCCAAATTATCCAACAGAGAAGCCTAAATTAAATATGGATATATTCTATAATCAACACATGTAAGTAATTTGCAATAACTAAGAATCTGTAATCTTTTAAACATACAAATCGTGAACTGCCATCCCCTAGAAACATCACACTATGTAGGCACTCGTAGATATCATACAGACTTATCTTACTATATATACAGTTTTTTACTGTACAATTTTTTTTATAAAGCATCATCTATATTTGATATTAAAGACTAAAAACCATGGATTACTTAATCATTGAAGTTGCCGAAAAAAAATGTATTTTCCATACTGCCACTAGTGATCTCTTTAGTAACCATGATGTACGTCAACAAAAATATTTTGGTTACATATGTGATCATGAATGTCTGAGTGAATAAAAATATAATGGCAATAATAATGACTAAAAATTTGTGTAGTTTACTTATTATAATATATTGATTATCAATAAGCACATTGTATGCATCCTTAATAGAGTATAGTCAACATCTATTTAAACTTCTACAACTCCCATGGAATTTGCATGAATTTGTCTACGTAATTATGGCCTATGTTATAGTTTCTTATATGTGAGAAATTTACTAAACCAGTTTAGTTTATTCAGAGCCTATTCAAAGTAAACAGGCAATCAATTTGTTCCTCTTTATAATAAATACGTTTAAAATTCATGTAATGAACATACTTATGAGTAAAGGCTATTATAAAGTTGATGATTATTTTAAGGACTGCAATGCATGGAATTAATAGCCTTCGCTTTGTTCTATGACTAATTATATGTACATACTATGACAGACTTTGAAAGTTGTGTTTATTATTGTGACAATACATATTATTTTGGCAATGACATGATTTTGTAAATGTCGTTACTTATTATAAGGAGCTGGTAAATTTCTTTCGCTTGTTCTTGTCAGCTAAAAGACATCCTAAACAAGTAGTAGGGGAAAAAAAAATTTCGACGATTCAAAAGTGCTTGTAACTTACTTGAATAAAGATATTTTCATTTAATTTCATTAGTATAGACAAGATTTCATCACCAAGTCTGTTATATAAGGCAGTTGTCAGGCTCAACTTATGCATTTTTACTATTACTATTTGCTCATTTTTTATATTAAAAATTTATACATGACTATAGACATTGTCATCTTTAAAAGTAAACATAAAGTAAAAAATTTCTCATTTCAGATTACCCATTGTAAAAGAGAAAACTTTGGAAATAGTGAATGTTGAAGCTGAACAATGGTTAGGTTGTGCCATGACATACACTTTGTTCGAGTGTCTCAAAGAAAAAGTGTCAGAACTGTTGGCAGAGCAAACCGAAGAAGTAGTAATCTCATCAAGAGTAGAAAAAATAACTATTGAAGATCAGGTAATTTTGAAATTAAATAACTATCAATTTTTTTAAATGGCTCCGCAATTGTTGTTGCTTAGAAACTTTCGCAAAGGTTGGTCATGGGATTGTAGACTAAAAAAATTGTTATCTCGAGCATTTCTGTACTTTCTTCTCTATTATATTTAGGGCGAAGTGGAAAGTACCAAAAAAGAGAAGAAAGAGCATTTAACTAAAGCCCAGAAGAGACGCGCGTGGGACAAGGCGGAGGTGGGGCGCGGCGGGGAGAAGCCGCGCGGCTGGGACTGGGTCGACATCGTCAAGCATCTGTCCCAGGTACTCACAACATCATACAAACTGGATAATTTATGTTTCAATCCATTTAATACGCCGTTTGCGGCAAGGAGGCCCACGTCTGCGGCCGTGTATCACGAGATACGCTCCGTTACTTAGGATCTATTGCGCGTGAATGTTCTAAATTTTTTATGCCAATGTCAGAATGACTACGCTCCTTTGTCAAATAAAAATTACAAACATATCTTACAAAACTTTTGTTTTATCTCGTTCACAGTGTGAAGTTGGAAAGAAAGATAAGTGTTTGAGTAATATTATCAATTTTAGTGTTTATTTCGGATGAATACTTTTGCGGTTTTTTGGCATTCCTAAATTACGTTCTTTTTTATTATAAAAGCATCGATAGATTTTATCGATATGTGAATTATCGACATCGATAAAAATGTGTGCCTATCACTACTCATACTATTATTTGAGAACATAACGAAATACCGCTTGTTGATCCATTAGAGACGAGTTACTTAGCGCGCAGAATTTGTTTACGTTATGCGCGCGATGAGCACTTGACCTTGCCGAGTACCAAAGGAAACCTTTAGTTACACTTATAAGTACAATCTTAGTTAAAACCCGTATGATCTACAAATAGTAATAAATAAAGAAACTACCACTATAGCGTACATAGAATAACGTTTGCCACATTATAAACAACATTAAGAAATTTAATGAAATCATAATTTAAAACAATAAAGTAATAAAAACTATGATCAAAGATTTAAACTGCATGTATACCATTAGCGAGAGTTTTATTCTTTTCTTAAAACGACGTAAATAAATCTATTTATTCAATCAAGATGTAAGCATATTTGAATATTGAAATGCTAATAATATGCAATCAGTAAATACGGCGTGAGACCTTTGTCTATGAAGAACCAGCAAGAAGTTCAGAAAGGGTTTCTTCTCCGTGATGTATTTCATACAGAGATGATTTATTCAACTATGTTGTAACTACTTTCTCGCTCGGATTCGTATGATTTATTCAACTATGTTGTAACTACTTGTTGTAACTATCGGGTTCGTGTACGTGCTGTATGTACCCATTGAAGTCTCGTAAATTGCTAATGCGCTGGTACCTTGTCTAAATAACACCCGCGTGACGTCATATAAATAAAGAAAGTATAGATAGCACAGAAGATAAGAGATAAATTATTTATTACTCATAGAAATATTTATGGATAATGTTTTTTGTAATAAATTATCAATTTTTAGTTTGTTAATTTATTGCATGAATTTTTGGAAAAGAATCAATATGTAAATATTGGGATTCATGAAAAAAAAAAAGACATTTACTCGATAACAAACGGAAACGACATTTTTTAAAACATAACCAAAAGTAATAAAGAAGACATTCGATATATTTATTATTAGTGAAATAATGTTTACTTATTGTGAAAATTTTAGTCGAACATGATAAGTAACAATAAAACTTAACAATAACAATCGAAAACAACAAAAACATAACCAATGTTTATTTGTTAACGGCTCTGATTTTTGAACGCATATTAAATATGGACATATTCTACGTCATCAAAATGGCGGCCAGGCATTTTAGTAATTTGCTCGTATTATAACGAGCCTTTGATTTGACTAATGGCGATTTTTATTACTTACATTGTGATTTAAAATGGCGGAAAAGAGAAAAAAAAACCTTTTAATTAACGCAGGGGTAATACAAACTAGCCTTGTTTGGGTAGAGAAACAATTACTCTCTCTTTATACCTTATTTTGAAATCATCATTTATACAAACCTTGACCATATTATTACAAACAAAAAATATTTATTTAATATTGTGCAGTAGTGATGAAGTTAACACATATATTTTTACAATAACTATAAAAAAAAAATTACTATATTATATCATAATTATTAATATTTTTTAACTGGCGCCCATATTCAAATTAAAACTTTTGTAGTAGATTTTATACCTCATTATATGAAATGAAATGAAAATATCTTTATTCAAGTAGGCTATTACAAGCACTTTTGAATCGTCCAAAAAAATTTTTTTTCCCCTACCACGTTCAGGACGTCTTTTAGCTGACAAGAAGAACAAGCGAAAGAAACTTACCAGCTTTTTATCAAAAGTAATGACATTTACATAAATCATGTCATCACTACCAAAATAATATGTATTATCACAATAATAAATACAACTTTCAAAGTCTGTAGGTCATAGGTTGTACATATAATTAGTCGTTATAGAACAAAGCGAAGGCTATCAATTCCATGCATTGCGGTCCTTAAAATAATCATCAACTTTATAATAGCCTTTACTCATAAGTATATTCTTTACATGAATTTGAAATTTATTTATGGGTAGGTCAATTACATTTTGTGGAACTTTATTGAACATAGCAATACATTTACCCAGAAATGATCCTCTGGTTTTTTGAAGCCTGAAGCTTGGAACGGCAAGTTTATTTTTATATAATAAAAGTTGTTAATTTATTCCAGGCACCCCATCAGCCTACATCATGACACTTACAGGAATAAGTGACTGTACAGAAACGTAGCTTCCAATGTCACTTGGTAGACTTTAATGAAGTGGAAACGTTACGTGATGACCATCCGCCGTTACAACACATACAGACAAGTGTCAAATATGAGTTGAAATATATAGTATCTATGGTAGATTTTAAATTGTAATAAAATTTCAAAAGATTATTGGTTTCTTGGATGTATGTAAAAATAGTTTTCTTTATTTCTTATTATCTTTGTAGCCACTATTTGGAAGATAAAGACATCAACTTAACAAAGAAGAGAATAGTTTACTAACATACTTCAATAAGTATATCCGGCTCGAAGGACCATTTTGTGTATGCTTTTTCTAAATTAAATTTGAAAATCTATATTTATTATTCACAATATTTATGCTTTCGACATGTTTTTTTTAATTACATCAGCTATGTCAGTAACGGTATAATCGCAAATCAAACATTATTGTGATTTATTTGCAATAAATAATAATTGTGTCCATAAGAAGAAAGATGTGGTATATTATGTATGAAATAAAATGATATTATTTTTATATATTTTTTTTTCAAATCAAGTCATTTATTAGCTTGTATAGTATTGCTTAACAAGCCAACTTTTTTCATTCAAAAAGTAAATATAGACACGAACGAAAAATGCCAAAGGATTATTTAATATTGCCGGTGAAGATAAACGCGTCACAATTTTACATTGCAATAATGAACCTTATCCGTTAGTGGTAAAGTGCATGTTTCTATGGAGACTAAAGACTGTGATTTATTATTTTACTTTGCGCTATGAATATATAAGTAAATGTCAATAAGATAAATTTTAGTTTCGCTTCTGTTCGGTGGCAATGTAATTTGAACCTTAAGAGCTGTTCGTATTCGCATAGACTGATAATATTGTTCTTACTAAGTCTTCAACATGTTATCAGAATGTATAGACTAAAAAAAATCTGTAAACCTGTATAATAATTTTTGTAGTATATCGACAACAGTCGATTTACTGCCAAAATATTTAGTCGGAAATTCTTATATACCGCTCTTTTAGAAGATCTTTTAGAAGGCTTTATAATCGTCTTTTTTATTATGTAATCTATATTTTTGTAGCCGCTTTGGATACAATCTGTAAGCCTACAAAAAATTACTGAATGATAAATAAATAGATAGTAATGAAAAAGGCTAAAAAAATCCCAAGTTACATTTACGTGTAAAAAAAAAATGCATAACGACCTGCTAAAATGCATCCTAATTTCACTATTCGTGTACAGGTGCGCGAGTCGTAAACAACTACTACACAATTTTACATTACACTACAAAGATACACATTCTATTTTTTTTTAATATGATGAGATGTTTTACTTATATTAAACTATATGTACTTAGGTGGTAATTTTTATTATGGTGCAAATATTTATTAAGTATCCGTTTTGTTTTCAAAATTTTGCCCTTTAGCTTTGAGTGAATTCGAATTTGAGTTTGGATTTTACAGAATTGCAGGGTTAAACATAGTTTCTTATCGCTTCTTATTAAAGTTTTGAAATTAATGAATCTAAATACATTGTATATGTCTAAATTTATTAGTTTATGAAAAAACCATAAACAATTCGCAGACCAAATCTTCATGTTGTGCAAAACATCGATTATGCCTTAGTGTTAAATTACATTTCTTTTTACCAAAATCCAATAGATATTTATCGTTATTTTGAAATATCATTTGAATGTTGCTTAAAATGGCAACACCGTTTACCCTTTATATCTAGTTTGTATTGTATAATAATCATACAGATGTACATGATAATTTTATATATATTTAGATTGTGTCTATAGTGAGTTTTATTTACTTACTAGTTTTCTGCCAGCGACTTCGCCCGCGTAACTTAGGGAATTGTTTAGCGGAATAAATATTAGTAACATTATTTACTCCTGTATAAACAAATTTCATTATTTTATAATTTATTAATTAGTAAACAATGGTTATGGTTACAATAGTTCGGGATAAAATATAGCCTATGTTTACAACTTATATGACGTAGCTTCCCGTAAGTGAAATAATTGTTAAAATCGGACCTGCCCCCTAATTGTCTAATTTTAAATCTATTGCAATCGCTTTCAGTTTGAAAGGTGTTGCACAACCATTGCTGCATAATACAAATACTTTTTTTCAACTGTCTTCAGAAACAAGCAATGGTTGTGCAACACCTTTCAAACTGAAAGCGATTGCAATAGATTTAAAATTAGACAATTAGGGGGCAGTAGTTTCTGAGCCTATTCGTTGCAAACAAATAATCAAATCTCTCCTTTTAATAATATTAGTATAGATACTTAAAATTGTATTCTGTTCCTGTAACAGGTGAAAAAACGAACAATGATATAAAATATTATGTGAGCGTTTTAAGTTAACCATACGTATCGCTGTCCATACAACTCTGTATCGTTTCCGCGTATCGCGTTTAGTTGTACGGGATCATGAGTAAAACTTTTTTTGGCAGTTTTTTGTTTGCCAAAAATCCAGGGATGAAGTAACGGACCAAAACTGCTAAGAGTTTACACTCCTATCTATAGTCGAGTATATAGAAGTTATAACTTCATCACAAGTAATAACTTAGCAAATATCTTTAACCAATAGACTACAATTTGAAGAAGAGAACTAATAATAGTGTTCTAACTTTTTTCTCATTTCACTCATATTCTTGTTTATAAGTTTATACACTTTTAAACGGTTTCATAGCGTTTGTATTTAGTTTTATTGACGTTTCGGTTCCTTTACAGGTTCCGTGTTATAAGAAATCAATATTCTTTTTTATTTGATAAAAATGTTTACTCGAGTTACATCCTAATTTTAATCAATTAAGTATTTCTAGTACGAGTGGAATTCTTTACATTCACACCAGCATACTTTCTGAGCTTTCATAAACAAAAAAAGTTTCATTTAGTTGAAAAAAAAAAAAGAATTGTAGACATATTGTCAACTGTCAATTTACCATCAAAATAATCAATTACAAAATATAGGTTTCAAACTCTATTTTTACAAAATCATGATCTCGTACACGATCCAAGAATGGTATACCCCGGCCGAGGTGGCCATCCACAACCGAGCAACCGATTGCTGGGTGTCCCTAAACGGGAAGGTCTTCGATCTATCTGATTGGTTGGAGCAACAGTTCAAGTTGTGCAAATGTACTAAATCGTGCTCATGCCGTGTCAAATCTTGGTTCTGCGAAGACACTTGCGTCGAGCTGTGCGAATGTTTCAAAAGAGGATTCCCTTACTGTGACGCGAAGAGGGTAAACTATATTGTTTTTATGTTATTGCCCTATCACTTACTTACTAATTGGGGTGGGTTCTTTTAATGGATAGTAAATTCGTGTTCGGGAAGCTACAAAAATCTCCGGGTCCAAATTCGTCGACCAGTGTGTATCGTCGGTAATGGAAGCGAAACGTTGTTTGGTCTATTATAGCCATAGGTCTCATAAAAATACTAAAGGTTATCCAGCGGGTAGTGGAGAGAGCAATGTTTGATGATTCTCTACATGATCGTATCAGGAATGACGTTACTGATATTGCTCGAATAATTGCTCAGCTAAAGTAGCAGTGGGCGGGACACATACATAGCTCAAAGAACCGATAACGCTGGTATGGAATGCCGATAGCTTGTCGGACAACGCTTAATGGATAGGGCACCTAGAAGTTGGATGACATTATTAACTTTAACAAACAGACCATAACTATAACCCACCACTCGCGTCAATGCAATGCACTTTGGTTGGTATTAACGACTTTAGAACCTATCTGAAATGTCCTAAGTTTTTTATTAAATAACTGAATCGTAGATACATTTTTATAAGTAGTATTACAGATATTAGTATTCATTTGATGAGAAGGAAGGTTTTCTATTTTGCTTCTGAAATTGGTCCATCTTTAGCAATAAATGAGTTTGGCTTAATACTTTTGTAGGTTACAAAAATATGAATAGGTAGATTCTTACTATTTATCCGAGTGAGCTTAATGAACATCCTTTCGAATTAGGTAACCAAAAAATATTCAATGACCCTAATCTCTGAAATTCAGTAACATAAAGACCACATTTGTTAGAGAATATTCTGTACAGCTGATTTGTACATTTTGTTGATTTCAATAATCTCCAGTTAGCCATGACCATCGTGGCTTACGCCGGCAAGGACGTGAGCCACTGGTTCAAAGGTGAAGACTGGGTTACCTACATGCACCCTGTCACTATGTTGTCAACTACGTTCCAACTGCACGGGCACGGCGCCCGGCAGCCCGTGGTACCTTCCACGAAGTGGCGGCCACTAGAGAAACCGTGGTGGCTTAACGAAAGTTACGTCATTGGGAAGGTTACGGCGAGAACTAGGCCTATACGAATCACAAATACACTGACAGGTAAAGGTTTGATAGGAATTCAATGCTACTTGGAAAACAACTAGGTAGACCATTTTTTTATAAATACTTAGTCAATTATTATAGGTTTAGGGGCTTCAGCAAACAACCTTCTTTTAAATAATCTTTTTTATGAAAGATATTCTGGTTACTCTTGTTTTTATAGTTATTATTGTTGTTCTCTACATTATATGAATATTATCTTGAAAAGGTGTTTTTAGTTTGGTTTCTTAAATCGGGTTCCAATTAGTAATCCTATTAATGTCCCTTAGCTGTGACATAAGTTTAGAGAAACTCTCTAAGGGCCTGAGTCTTCTCTAATTTAGAAAAAAATTGTAGATATTAATTATGCAGTCGGGTCCAATGGCTTAACAAGTATCTCGAGGCATGGAAAAGCCCGATTTAATAAATTTGTGGTCTGGGTGACCAAAAATTTCTCTGTGATCAGCCGTAAGTTGCTTCATTCCCGAATAGCAGGCCGAACGCTATAACCACTGCGCCATTGACCTCCTCTTGCCTTTCTATTTGTCCATTAATATCACCAAGGGGTCCGTTTGTCCCCTAACCTTATCAGGTTACATGATTATATACTATTTTATTAGCCGAAGTTTGTAAGTAAAATCAATATCAGGCACAGTATACTCAGTAGCTTCAAATTAAGATGGTATTAAATTCGAAGTCATTGTCAGCATTATAATGTTCAATTATCGCCCCGATCGGCTCGCAGGTTCCACGGTTACGTTGGAGGTGTGCTCTGAAGAGACCATCTACCAGATCATGATGCGGTATCTTCCACACAACACGCACATGCATTCGTACACGTGGCGGTACCTCGGCCGGGGGCTTTGTTACAGCAAGACTCTGGCTCAGAACGGTATACCTGATGAGAGGGATAGATTCAGTGATGTGGCGCTGCCGGAGAACGTGCACATACCTGCTATTTTGGTTTACTACAATGATGATTTGACAGAAGGTGAGTTCGAACCGTCGGCGAGTGTTTATGATAATACAAAAGTACCAAGGAAGCGAAAGAAGTTTATTATAAGGACTTCATTAATTGTTTCTGCCTACCTCACAATTAACCTGGGGTGCGACCGCCTAATAATATACCCATTGTGTGTGCCAATGACGAACAAATGATAAAAAATTAACATTTATGTATTTGACAGCAGTGTTACCAACTTAGTCGTTTACCCACAAATACCATGTCAAAGTAGTAAAAGGAAACAAAAAAAGTTTTGAAAATCGATCAGCAGTTGGCGGAAATTTCAGTGAACACACATAAAAGAAACATTCATTGCCGTCAGACATATATAACCTCCTCCTATTCGATTTTGAAGTCGGTTCATGAAAAATCATCATAACATCGCTAAAGCGTCCTATCCTATGGCTAGAGTGTTTGGCGGTCACTATGATTGTGTAGATAAAAGCTAGGATGACCCTTTATAAGCATTCGATATTGAATATCGACGTGTTTGTTAGACTGGAAATATATTTTAAATGCCGATGTTACGCTAACGGGTTGCAAATCAAATAAACCACGAATATCTCCTCCTTCAGATCCTCATAGAGACGATTGCTACTGCTATGAACGCAGCTGTGTGGTCCACCAGTCCAAGATGTGTAAAAAGAGAGATTGGATCGAGCAACCTGATTTGTCATTGTAGATTAAGAAAATTGTTAATTTTAGTGAAAAAATTCTTTTGAACATTATTTGGCGTTTGCTACTCATTTTGAAGGATTATAGCTTAAATATTTTGTATTGTTTACGTAAAATTAAAGTGATAAGAAATAATGCAAATAAATTTCTTTACACTCTACCTACTTATTTATAATGCTTTATGATTCTCGTTTTTTGTTACTTTTATATTACCTTTTGAGAAATAGTGAGAAAAAATTAAAAGGTTTTTTAGAGTTCCGTGCTCAAGCGATGTTAATAAGATCTTCAATCAATGCCTTCGTAGTTTCAACGTCGTTTGTTTATTACAGAGTTGTATCTTTAAAACTGGTATTACTAAATAATTGAAAATAGATACCTACATTTTAATTAAAAAAAGGCCCATATTTCTTTCTTCCACTATAATCTTAGGTAATAAGGCACTTGAAATTACTCTCCTATTCTTTTCGATTTCACATCCATAGGGTGGTGATGATGATGAACATGATGGCTTGAAATCCTCACGGAATAAGCCTGTGAAAGATGCGTAAATATACCCCTCATGTTACGGAGGATGTGAGACAATGAAGGTACTACAATACCCATATCAGACACAATGTAGAAAAACTCATTTTCTACTTTGACTTGTCCGGAAATCGAATCCAGCACCACAGAGATAAACACCTTGAAACTCTTGCGGGCGTGCGAACCATTGTTATAGAGGTTGGTAGGATGTTAGTTTTTGTGCTTCCAGAGGAACCCCGAAAGTTGATTTAATTATCCAAAAACAAAATCCATTCAAAAGGAGGATTGGGAAAAAATCTACTAATCGGAGTACCGATCAGAGGACTGGGGATAAATAACCCATCATTTCATAGGTAAGGGTGAAAAATTTTACGCTCCCTTTGCATGTCCTCGTCCTGCCTGGAGATATAGATTGATGTCTCATGTCCACAATGCGCAGTGAAAATAATACGTGAGAGAATCGCGCGATATGAGACCCTAGGGCTATTTTTGCGCATCGGCTCCATAGACGGGCCATCAATGTGTTTTATGGTTATGCGCCTGTTTTTGATCAGCTCATATTTTTATTTTAAAATAAATAAACTATTCGTAGCCCGGTGGCCGGCGATCGTTGTTGTTAAGTAACTTACGCAAGGGGCGGTCACGGGATGGGTGACCAATAATTATTATCCCGAGGTACTCCGTGCTTCGTAAAGCACGTTAAGTCGTTGGTCCCGGCTACATTTGCAGTACGTTAACACCCTCCAATCCGAATTAGACCAGAGTGGTCATGGCCTATTCTCCTTCACCATCCATCCATAAGGAAGGCTTAACGTGGGGAATGATAATGATGAAACCATTCCAGTCCACATCCTACTCGCACTTGGTCGATTTTTGTAGAAATTGTATACGATTACGAGGGTCAAACTGAAAGTTCTTAGAAAATCAAAAACTGATTACATTAGCCAGTTATTAGTTTTATTATATATTTTCAAAATATTGTCCATTCACGTCAATACACCGCTGCATGCGATGGAACCACTGGGAAAAGCACTTTGCCCACTCGTCCTTAGGGGTCTCTTCAATGGCATCGCGATACGCAGCCACCGCTTCTTCAGCATTCATAAACCGCTTTCCTTTAAGTTTTTCTTTAATTTTTGGAAATAAATAAAAATCACAAGGCGCGAGGTCGGGGCTATACGGCGGGTGACCCAGTAATTCAACGTTTGATGTCGCCAAATAGTCGATCGTTCGCTTGGCGGTGTGCGACGAGGCGTTGTCGTGGTGAAGGAGGATCCTACTGCGAGGTCGTTTCTCTCGAACTTTTTCCAAGACAAGTGGCAAACAATTGGTAGTGTACCATTCTGCAGAAACTGTTTTTTGATCCTCTAACACAATTGTTGCAAAATGACCTATCCTTCCAAAGAACGAGGCCACCATTTTTTTTCCCGCACTTCGATCTCTCTTCACTTTAGTTGGCAACTCCTCGAAAGGAAACACCCACTGAGCAGATTGTCTTTTGGTTTTAGGATCATAACAGTAAATCCAGCTTTCGTCACCTGTTAGTATGTCGAACACAGCATTTGAGTCACCTCCGTTAAATCTTTCAATCATTTTACGACACCAATCCACACGATGGAGTTTTTGAGCCTCAGTCAAATTATGAGGTATCCACCGGGCGCAAAGCTTCCTGACCGCTAAATGTTCGTGGAGGATTTTGTGCACTTGACTCATACCGATGCCTAAGCTTGTCCGAATCTGTTGATAGGTCACTCTTTTGTCAGTCTCTATCATACGCCGCACAACACAGATGTTATCTTCAGTCGTCGCCGTAGAAGGCCGTCCCTCACGTAAATCATCAGTGAGATTAGTGCGACCACGTTTAAACTCATTAAACCAGTTGTAAACAGTCGCACGAGATGGGGCTTCATCGTGAAAGGCCAATCGTAGTCTATCATAACTTTCTTGTTGACTTAAATGACATCGAAAGTCATAAAAAATCATTGCACGAAAATTTTCTCGTGTTAAATTCATGATGACGTGACACAGACAATTTTCAATTTGCCGCCAAATCGTAAAACAAATGACAAATGAATGAAATATATACTCAGTAATATTGGCAAAGAGTTATATTTTCAAATTTTAGAATTATTTTTTTATTATATTGTTTATAAGTGGCCAGTTCTAAGAACTTTCAGTTTGACCCTCGTATAAAAAACTTTATACGTTGTAAAAAGTTTTCCACTCCATAATAATAAGGATTACTTTTTGCTGGGCGCGTGTGTGATTAATAAAAAGAATTTAATTGCAATGAACTTTTACTCGATGTGATTTTAATTACAACATAGGAAAAATAACGTGATTTCTTTTATAGGATCGTATTAATGAAATTCATTTAACTGCGGTTACCAAGGTCGATTATCTAGACATGTTTCTTATTTTATAAAAATGTGATAAAATATGTTTTTATTTTAAGAAATCTGCATTTATAAAATATATTCATATGCTTATGTTGCTATTGGTCAGTTGCCCAAATGTCCATTAAGGTTTAATTATGCCTTTAAGCTCTAATAAATGTCAATTTTTATGGGTAATGTCGCTTGTAACTAATGACTATTTTAATAGATGTTTGTGCGACTGGCTGTATATGTTTAAAACATACCTAACCTAACTGAGTTGGGGGAAAACGGGGGGTATTCAAGTCGACTGATTTTTTTGTTTGATGTATATTACCCGATACTTTTAGCAGTAGATTGATTCTTACGATTTCTATTTGTTTTTTTTCTAAAACTATATTAAAGTCGTATCAGTAGCTTTGTTTTTATATTAAAACATCTTGACGTTTTTAGTCGTCGTTTACTTTAGGATTGATGTTCTTTGATTTTC